AATGATGTTTATTATACTCGAATTATAATATCAAGTCATCTAAAGTGTTTGGAACATGTACCATACATCATGATTATCATCTCTTACTGTTAACTTTCTAAGACTTTTAATCCAATAAGTCGACAAAACTCATTACAGGAGTGATGAGAAATAAATTCATTAATAGCAATTTCAGTCAGGTTACCTGCACAGAATAAGACTTCTCTGTCTTTTATTAAATCAGCTGTGGCAATTTCAGGATCAAATAACATGTGGCCACTTCCTTGGATATCAAGAATCATTAGCTCACTTTTAGATTTCTCATAAGAGAAGTGAGCTAAACACTGTGCCTTTTGACCTATTATATCACTATCAGGTACACAAGCTTTCCCAGTGTTGTTTATATATTTGACAAAATCTCCCTCAATAAACTCCTCCAGGGTTACACACTCTTCATCAACCTTCGCAAAAAACACATCTTTGAATTTGAGTGTTTCTCCATATTGTGTTGTAAGACCTTCTTCCTTAACTTTTTTTGTGAGTTGAGATGCAGTATTCTTAGCCAGGGCATGCATCTGGACAATTTTTTTAGTGTGTTCTTCCATAGACAAACGAAGATCTTCTTTGATTTCTTTTTTCACATGATCCAAATATTTTTTCACAACCCAGGGTGTATGATTGTATCCTGAATAAGAACTTGTAGCTTTATATGCTGTGCGAAATCCGCCACTACCCAACACATCATCTTCAATTATGAATTCAACCTTTTGTGGAATACAATCCCACGTCATCGTTTCAAGGTTGAATGAGTATATGTCAAAAATTTTCCCAGCAGCATCAGGCTTTAAAGTCTTTCCAAGTTTTATCATCTGAGACACAGATAAACTTTTCGGATAAGACTTTCTAGTGCTACTGTACGGTATTTCATTTTCGTGATTGCCTCTGTCACTTACAAGCACTGAAGGAACACTGGAAACATGTCTAGGTTGGTGGTTGCAGGACTTTTCATCTTTTTTCAACTTCGATGTTTCATTTATAAATCTCACATGGATAACCTTTAAGTCTGGAATATGCTCCATTGATGTACACGATGGACCCTGGTCGCTGGCTAAAATATCACATGACATATCTTCAAGAGCAAAGTGCCTTTCACAAGCTTCTTTGATGCCTTCCACCGTCAACTCTCCATCCTGGTAGGTGACAAATTCACGTGGACCGACACGAGTATACTTCTGTGCCTTCCCGGACACTTCAGCGGATAGCCGTTGCACCACCAACTCCTTTCTGTCCAAAATATTGTGTTTTCCTGTTTTGTTGATGTTTTTTCCAGTATTTTTAAGCCTTTTGGCCTTCATTTGATTTTTGAAAGATGCCCACGTTCTTTTTCTGTCGGCCATCTTGGAATTGATAAAGCGCGCGAAATCTGCTCTATAAGCCTGCATAGCCTGCCATTTTTAAGGGAGGGAAGGTTTTAAAGCTCGCAATGAGTTGTGGTCTATGGCAGTTTTAGGCCATCGGAATTTTTTTTTTAATTTTATTTTATTTTGAAATTAATTTACTTTTGATTTGAAATAAATTTTATTTATTTTTTAATTGTTTTACTTTATATTTTAATTGAATTTACTATTAATGTAATTTGTTTTCCGAATTAATTCATTTAATTTTTTTTTTTAAATTGTTATGGCAGTTCTCGGCCACCATACTACTTAAAAATTTCATAAAAATGATGTGTTATACTTTAAGTTTAACATATTTTCATAGCTCTGACTATGTCAGTATGTGAATATGTGATCGATACCTTGACTTCTGTTAGCTTGTCCTGAACATGTTGGCCGACTTCTGCACTCTATAAACACTCAGATGATTCTAGGCTCATTGATGTTGCTAAAAACGAATATAATGCCTTTGGATTAAGAAATATATTAAGGAAATCATATATTTTCGGCATATCGGCAATACAAGCCTAAGTCACTAAATTAATTTTTATGATGGCATATTTAGACTGGCACCGATCCTTCCCGTAGAAACAAAATAAACTTCAGAGTACCTATAAATCTGAATCCATTTCTTCTCTGTATGCTGTTTCTTAAATATATTTGACAAAACGGAGGGAATGAAGCTCAAATGTAATGTTTTAAAACAGCAAAACGTGCGCATATTTCCAGCCTTGCTTTGGTGACACACGAGAGAGAAAAGATTGAATATGGCGCGCGCGATACGTATTGGGTTCGTATTGTCACGTGATGTTGAAAGAGGCGCATGGATTGGATGACCATTCAAAGGCTGAAGGAAATCAAGTTTGCAGGAATTTCTGTGGCAGGAATAGCAAATTCATGTCTAAGATATGATCTGGATTTATGTTAATTATCTGCAAATGCGTGGATTACCCTGGTTCCAGAGGCTCTTTGCGAGGCGAATGAAACGATAGGCGAGCAGGAAGAGGCTCTGGTCACATCGGTTGCAAATCGCACTTCCACACATGATTGGTCATTTGTAAAAATATGTCTAACCGGTTTGGAAAATAAACATTACTGTATTACACCCGTTTTCAAAATTACGCGACCAAGGACGAAAATGCTAGAGTTGACATGTCAGTTTTATGTCATTCGGTCACGACGTTTAAACTTTGAGTTTTGCGGTTCCTTGTCGATATGCTTTGTATGCTTTATATAAACATGCTTACAATGACTTTCAAGACATTTTAGTGAGAATTATTGCAGAATGTAAGCACAAACAAAATCATAACATTACCGTTATAGTCTAGCGCGCGTGATTTATATTGACAGCTAAATTCCAGGATAAATTGTTATTTTTCAAACTTTAAAAGTTATTCACGACACATATTTCTGTAGTGATGGTTTGTATTGTGCTTTAGTTTGTATATCTAAGTTATCTAACTCATATTTGTTCAGTTTTGGTATTAAATACGGTTTAAAATGTCTTTTGACAGTTTGTTTACGTTTGCTATTTTTAGCAGTTTTTGTGACATAAAACTGACATTTGAAGTCAAAGTATTTTTCAGGGAGGTCGCGTAATTTTGAAAATGGGTGTAAAGCTAATATACCTATAATTTGCTTAGAGTAATGTTTATTTCCCAATTTTCCCATTTTACTCCTTTATGAGAGTTGAATTGACTCCCAGAAGTGCATTATTTACTCCGGTATGTTTACTCCTTTTTTGAAGTGAAAATAAAGGAGTAAATATACAATTTTACGCCTTTATAAGAGTTAGATTGACTCATAGAGCAGTAAGATTGGGGTTAAAGTTACTCCTAGAATAAAAGTAAAGGAGTAAAAGTTACTCGAATATTTATACTCCTTTGCTGGAGTATACCTGCAGTATATTTTATCCCTGCAGTGGAGTAATATTTACTCTTAGTAGAGCAAATGTAACAAAAATAAATATAATACACACTTTTTGTATATCTTCTGCAAGAATGGTAGAGATAAGACTGTCGTGAAGTATATCATGTATTACAGTCGCATTATTTCGTACATTCAGTCTCATTTCTGGTGTCATCTCAAGAAAAGATCTCCGGTAACTTGGAATATTGACGTCTCTCACTTTAGTCCAAACGTCTTCGTATAGTTGGCTCATGCCAACCCTCTCTAAAATCTATTAAGAATTCAGTTGAAACAAAGTGACCATCTTATGGCCGACACAAGCTAGGCGACATGTTGCAGGAGGAACAAGTATATAGTCATACCTTCTTGACAGTAGCCTGTAGTAAATATTCTAGTTTGTTGTCGCTTTATATATCATGACTTCGACAATTTGACTTGCATGGATCGCATATTATGACAGTGTTTATTGCTTGGAATTATAATCTGTAAGTACAAAGCAATATCTCAAAGTTTTAGTGTATTTTAATAACAAGATATTGTTGAACCTAATACAAAATACAATGTGGCCAATGGAACGCCGATTAAAAATATTCATGAATACATCTATTTATTGCACATATTCACACACGAAACTTCAAAATATTGATTTAGTTGAACACTTACATTTAAAATCATTGGGTAAATCTTTGAAAATTGGAGTATTTCTTCTTATTTTCTTTTTTGTTTCTTCTTAGACGCCCAGATTGCAGTTAATATAGAGACAGTAAATGTATCCGACATACCCGTTAACCTTTAGTTCCTTGTTGACGATACAACATTTTTGCACAAATGCAGCTCACCAAACCGTATTGGACGTATCGTCTACGGCTTTTGCTCTGGCTCTGATTTAACTCGGAATGAGCTCTCCTCTGTGCTGATGCTTGGTCTGAGGAGACCTGCATCTCCTTGAACCTCGTACATTTTATGTCCTGAATTAGCCTCCTGCGCAGACGTTGTTAGTGGCCGAGGCCTCACCTAACGTCTGCTCACATTCGCTATACATTTGACTTCCCGGCAATTAACCAATCACAGTCATCTGCACGATAATTAGAAGATCGACCTTCAATGACCTTCACACGCATGGGCCATTTTATATCAACAAGTCTGCAGTATTTTTAAATTTGAAAGTTTTAATACTGCGCGTATCAGAAGAAGCTTTTCATTCCATTGTAAACGAAAAGAAAGATGTTTTCATCAATTTCACAACTGGAGTCAGTGCTGTGTCATTATTATAAGTTGAACTGAGAGCGATGAATAAGCGAAGGCATTGGAAGAAGGGAAATATTCTGTATATGGCACACCAGGCAGAGTCAGAGTCATTGTTGAAGACAAAGTGCATGTATAGCAGAATCGTTTGTGTTTTGGCTATTGATGCATGAAGCTCATGTCAGTATGTATTATAATAAATCCTAAACATACATGTGTTCGCATTTGTATTAAATTTTCAAAGCACAGGAATCGATCGGCTTTGATCATTGTAATAGTCGTTATTTTATATTGTCTTGAATTTTTCTTTGTATACGTTGCGCTCGTATTTATATGCCTACTAACATCTATTGGATGTGGTATACCAGCAAGTTTATATGAGCCATTCTAGTTAGTATGCATACCCCAACCCTCTGATGCAAATCCTTCATAATTGAAAGTCTCATATGTCATATGAACTTGCATGCTATAGTACTACATGCAATAGTAATAAGAGGCAATGTATAAAAAGACAACTTCAATTTAATAAACACTATAAAATATTAACGACTACTAAAATGCCCGATCGATTCCTGTGGCTTTGAGAATTACAAAAGCGAACACATTTTTAGAATTTATTATAATACATCAATATAGCCACCAATCTCCAGCGTTCAACAGTGACTCTACCTGTGCCAAATATGATACATTCCAATGCCTTCGCGTTCTTCATCGCTTTCGATATATTCCACTTAATAATGACACAGTGAGCACTCACTCCTAGATTGTGTAGTTTTTTCCCCTTGATTTCGCGTTGAATTTATCAATGGGGAAACCACGATTTAAAACTAAATGTTTACAATTTGTTTAAATATTTAAATCCAAATATTACATCGAATAGCTTAGGTAACTGCCTGATAAATATGTAATTCCTGCGCCAGTTGCGAGATTGACGAAAGCATCCTTCTTTTCGTTTACCAGCTTTTTAAGCTTCTGACACGCGCAGTATTAAAACTTTCAAATTTAAAAATATTACGGACTTGTTGATATAAAATGGCCCTTGCGTGTGAAGGTCATTGAAGGTCGATCTTCTAATTATCGTGCAGATGACTGATTGGTTGATTGCCGGGAAGTCAAATGTATAGCGAATGTGAGCAGACGTTAGGTGAGGCCTCGGCCACTAACAACGTCTGCGCAGGAGGCTAGTCCTGAATATGACTTTGTAAACTTTTACATCTGATACAGTTGGTGATAGAGTTGCTGTCCTTCCATGCTCCTAATCTTTTTTAGCCACACTAATCCGCTTTCGTACCTAACTTAGCACTGTAAATTAAGAAGGTACTTAAAACTGTTTTATCTTCAGACGCCCCTTTATAGTTTGTACTCATATTTGTTCACTAGCGCACATATTAGTTCGGTCTGTCAGAACTGTCTCATAAAGCCTCTTCGTGCACTGTAAAAACTGATAGGTTAAATTGACAAGAAACAGGTTATTTGCATTGATTGAGGACAAGACGAAAACAATATGTTATTTGAATAGTTTAAAATATAAAAAATTAAGTAAGTTAATAATAACAAACCATCACAAATGGGATGTTTTAAAGTTTAAACCGACAAGAAATGGTGCGATATTAAGTGTGACGCTGGAAAAGACAGTGCTCAACAGTTGACTATGTTTAGAATGTGCACTCATATGTATAGCCCACGCTACATGTATACAACCTGCTACAGGAACTACTTAAAAAGTTCGTTTAGAAACTTCCGTGGTACGTTGTAGAAATAAAGATTTATTGAAACATTGTTTTGGGTACTTCAAATTACAAACATAATAAATAAACATAAGGGACGATATACAGTAGCTGTTAAAATGTCATCTCCCTTGTGTACCCTGAATATGGATATAAACACCGTTTTTCTGCGTTTCTTCGACTAATTCTTTCATGGGTTTATCTCGCATAGTGTTAACGTCTTTCTCCTTGTTGAAATGGCAATTGTGACCATGCCAGTAACATCCTAATTAAATAAGGTATAAAAATGAATAAACCTGAAAAGAGAGATGTTAAACCTACAAAGAGAAACAACCATGCAATTGCTTAAAACTCATTAAGCTCATCCTAAGCACAAAGTACGCCCCTTGCCAAAAACTCATTAACCCCCTCCCACGCAATTAAGTTAATCCTAACTAATTACCTTAAAACAACAACTTATAGTCCACTAATTGCTTGATGATTTCTCTCGTATTTCCAGATGAAAAGAAACACTTGGGTTGATCATATCCAGGTGCGTCCGGGCACATGAGTTTTTTCTGTATTTCGATGATGTTCTGTTTCTTTCTGGAAATAACATTCAAAATGAAACGTCGCAAGGTACGGAAAGTAGTTTAATTCTTCTGGGATTGCAATTCTTTCGTCTTGGAGCAGATCAAAAATTGTTTGTGGAGCCTTTAGACACCACCAGGGAAAATGTGACGTACCGTGGCTTTGCATGTTTTCTCGTGTTGTTTAGAGCCGTAGCATATTTCCACAATTCATCGCACTTGGTGCAACAGTATGATTTTGAGTACATTGACAGGTTCTTAATGTAACCAAAGTGATTTTCGAATTGATTCAGGTACATGGAATTCTCATAGGCACTGTGGGAGCGTTGTAGGCTATAAGTTGAGCCACGAGTTTGGTTTCTTCTTTGTCTTCGAGTTCGAATAACTTGTCTAACTCTGGTAATTCCTGGAGAGTGACACCATCAAAATTATCATCTTCAGAAAACCGTTCGAAGTAATGCCGAGTGTCACGTTCTAAATTATGGGTGTGACATCCACGGTGCAAGGGCACACAACGAAGAAACAGAGTTTGTCTTCGTACGGTAAGCCAGTTTGTTAATTACAATCTAGCGATACGATAGCACGATTCTCCAACACGTATTTAGGTAAACGTACAGAACGTCCGATGGGGTGATCTCGAAGCGTTGTCACGTAAAAGGTGGCGTTAGTGATATCCATGCCGACCCATTTTGAATTCGGTCGTTGTTGCCTTGCCCATTCAAAAACATCCCAAGTTTTCCAACGCTGCACGAACTTGGGCTAAATTCTGACGGTTACGTATTTGATACCGGGCATCGAAAACACGATTATTGTTGGCTGAGGGATGGTGGTATTGCATTTGTTCAGTGTCGTCGTTGAATAAGACGAAACCAAAGGAGAGATTCATTTTGCAGCCGGTGGTTTGATCTTCGAATATATGATGTACGTATCATGCAAGTTGACCGGAAAGAAAACCCTTGCATGTAAATAAACCAGGTGATATATCCAGATCTTCAAGGATTTTGAGGAGCGAAATGTCACCATCATTGAACTTAAGTACAGCTAAGTACGTGGCAAGAGCTACTGTTTCCTGCTTTACATAAGTAGATCTCGGACATCTGTCCCAAATTTTCCCGCTCGAACATTCATTCGCATTTTGGGTCAATCCATGTGTACATTTATTCAGCAACTCAGATTTAGAAAGATCTTCATATACAGGATGAATCAAATCCACAATGGGTTTTGGAATACCATTCCTATGTGTGTACGTTTTACTGTCACTTTGATAACCACACCAAATATCCTTTCCTTTCGGGCGAAGATGATGCTATCGGTTCTCATCTGTGGAAGCAACATGTAAAAGCGATGCATCGATAGCATTGGCCATCTCTTATTGCCAGTCCGTAATACTTTGCAGAACATCAATTTTTCCATCAGTAAGTCTACCTTTACCAGACAAGCCTTTTCCATCAGAAATCTTGAGTTGTTGCAACTTGCTACCAACTCCTTTTTGGACATGACCAATGCACTCTAGCTTGTTAGGTGTTCAATCCTCTCCATATGGCTTATTTTCAACAATAGCACTACAAGTGGAGGAATCACCATCACCAAGGATGTTTGTATACTTTAGTCCCCTTGTTGAACATGACTGGTTGAAAATCCTTACAGCACCAACCGTTTCCATGCTGTTGGAACCCCCTCATGATTTATTTTATATTGGTGTGTTGCTTTCCACTCTTTGTATTTGGGGTCATTCTGCTTCTTATTCCATTTGAGACATTGTCGGCACTTCTCGGATATAACTTCAACATCAAGGCATTTTTTGGTATCTAACGAAATTGCCGTGCCAACCCGATTGTGGGACGCATGGCATCGTTTTTGCCAGGTACCATCAATCGATATTCCGCATTCCACAGAAGCATTCACACTCATTTGCTTAACATTCATAGTATTACTCGCCATACTATCATTTGCACACTGTTTCACGATGGGCGGAGCTTTTTATTTTGAATATTGGTGAAGTGGTTTCGCTTCGGTGCAGCAGGCAGATTCTTAATCGTGTTGAAATTGGTCTTGATATCGTGACATCTACCAATTTCTCGAAAGGCCAGGACTGCTCTGACATTTATTTCAAAAGACTGCCCTTGTTTCATTGATAATTGAAACAATACTTCCAATATGACCTATGAATGACGTTTAACAAGAGCATAAATCATCCGTCCATCGCCATCCGTCCGTTTCCGCGTTTTATCTTAAGCCCCAGCTTGGTGCAAATCTATATCATGAATGGAAACTAACACCGCCGAAGTTTTTTTACTGCTTTGGTGTGAAGCACATTGCGGCTGTGTAAGCACCAGCTTGGTGTTAATCTACACTATGAGCGTAAACTACCATCTCTGAAGGTCTTTATACACTGTTTCACCATACTCAATAACTATGTCTTGGCTACGTACGAAACTCTCTTTTTGTCTGCTGAGATCTTCCCTTCTATGTTTGAGGGGCACTAGAGTTCCTTTTTATATGAATAATAGTTTGTTTGACACTTTGTACTAACTTGAACCTTTTTAAACGAAGTGCTTTAATCGATTTTATATATTTTTAATGTATCTAGCTATGCTCAATCTATGAATAAATCTTTTCAAAAATTATACACTGTTTTGGTGTAAATGAGTTGCAGTTGTGAGAACACCAACTCAATGTTAACTTACTATAGGAGTAAATTTTGACATAATTAGAAAGATTTTCCTGCATACTTATTGATAAAACTACTGAGAAGGTTTGACATGGAATCATACATCAAATTGATATCTAGGTAGCTATATTCAATTTAACTAATGCAAGATAAAAATACCCGTTTATATATTACATGCTGGTTGAAATTGTATACACATATATATTAAAATTATTTTTAAAATTTAAAAACTGTCGTTTATATTACATATTTGGATTCGTTACAACATAGATTGTGTCATACAGTCACAATCCGAATTAAAGTTCATTCACACAAATAAAGCCTTTGTTGATACTTGGTGGAACAAGAACAGATCCATATATTACAGCGCACAAGATCCATAAAAGTTTCCCTGTATAACTGTGCTTTGTTAAAACATTAATGGCCAACAAATTGACCATTGTATTTGAGGGTTGGTGAGGTCGCATTTACAAACTTTGGTCGCATTTTTGCCTATTTAGCCTTAGTTTTGCTTGCAAAGTGACGTTCAAGAAAATGTTTATCTTAAATGATCTTTTTAGTTGGACAAGAGAAATAGCTGCTTGTACTTGAAACAGTGGCGGCATTGATGGGTGGGAAAGTGCTTGTACGTTTATTTTAAGCGTCTTTAATTCTTCTTGTTCAAACAACTCCCAGATCAGGGGGTGATTCTGAGTGACACATTTTTTAACCTCCTAAGTTTCTCTATCTCAATCTTTTTCTTTTGTCTATATCTTCGTAATCTTTTAGCCATATCTCCAGTATTCACAGTCTTTGAGTTTGTGTGTGATGTAATCTTCTCGCTGTGAGGCTTAATGGAATTGTGGACACACCGTCCTCTAAAACTTTTCGTTTGGGATAAAAATAAGTAAAAGCGTTTTTGTGTTGAACATATGTACACATAATATTATTTAAAACTCTAAAACCCCTATTTACACCCTACCCACTACGTTTACTTAAAAGCACCTCTAAATACTTATCTTTATTAATTATATTATTTTTCTTATTTACACCCTTACAACTAAATTTATCTTTCCCATCCCCAAAACAATAATAGGTTTTACTACATAAACTAACAATACCTTACCCTTCCCATTCCACTTTGAATAACCGTGGTTTCTTTTGTCGTATCGAGCATTCTCTACACTATCAGTGTGTGGGAACCAGTTACTCTTGTCGGTCTCAAACTCGTCTCTCAACTCAGGTTTAACCAATTCTTCAATATTTTCACCACTAATAGCGATGTATGCACTGTCCGTATCCATCTCACAAACTCGTAATAATATTGGTCAATGTACTTGTCGAGACAGTAGTAGTACAACTGTAGCATTCGCAGTTTCGCGTACTGGTACACAAAGAACCCCACTTGTAAAATAATGTTGCACACTAAGGGAAGTATTTCAGGTCTTCAGGAATGTCGATACCTTCGTCCGCCAATAAATCGAAAATAGTTTGTGGAATTTTGTAAGCAGCACCAGGGAAGATGTGAAGAGCAGTCGCATCACAGGTTCTTTCGTGTCGGTTCAAAGCTCTCGCTGTCTTCCACATCTTGTCAAATTTAAACAACAGTACGATTTCGAGTACATTTTTAGATTCTTGATATAGCTGAAGTGGCTTCCGTACAGGTCGAGTTGGAGAAGTTGAGCCACGATCTCGGTCTTGTCTTTATCCTCATCATACACTTCCACAAGTCTGTACACGTAAATGTTCAGTTCGAATAATTTCTCCAACTCTGGGAGCTCTTCGAGAGTCTCACTGTCAAAATCATCACTATCGTCATACTGTTCATAAAAATGTTGTGTGACGCGCTCCAGGTTATGGGGGTGACAACCTTTGTGCAAGGCCAAACAACGAAAGAAACAGAGTTTGTCTTCGTACGGTAAACCATTGTTATCATCACAATCTAGCGACACGATGGTAGGATTCTCTACCGCATATTCAGGTAGCCGGACACTGCAACCTATGGGATAATCGCGAAGTTTGGTCACATAAAACGTAGCGTTGGTGAAATCCATGACGACCCATTTGGAGTTTGGTCTTTGTTGCCGAGCCCATTCATGAATGTCGATATTTTCTAAAGCCTCGCGCACTTGCTGTAGATCTTCGAGGTTCCTAATCTGGAAGGCGGTGTCAAATACCCGAGCGTTATTCACTGAAGAGTGATGGTACTGCATCTGTACAGTCTCGTTATTGAAAAGAATGAAGCCAAAGGATAGGTTGAGTTTGAACACGGTGGTTTGATCGTGGAATATACGTTCTATATCATCAACAAGTTGATCCATGTTCAACGAGTTCCAACGATAATTTTACCAATCTTGGACACGGTTGCCTCGGCTTTGTCTCGTACGAATGGCATGACAATGTTGCCGGTGGATTGAGGAGGGTAGGTTAGATGGGGTACTAAGGGATCTTGGAGGAACGGTTGGGGGTCCTATCGGAATAAATTATAGCACCCGATTCCTTATTTTTGTCTAGAGCTGCGCACTATTTTTTTCATACAAACACCCGATTCATAAAAAATCTACGTAAGTCTAACATAAGGAAAGGGTGTATAGTAAATCTACGGTAGGTAACACACTAAATAAATTGTCTATGTGCTGAAGCATGCGAAAGATAAGGTACACTCGTTTTCGAATATAAACGTTTATCTTAACAACACACAAAAGTACTTGTATATAAATCATGAGTAGCAAACAAATAAAAGACTATAAACCTACGGCGAGCAACAGAGACGCGCTAATTTTGTTCAGACAAACACCCGATTCGGAATTTTTAAACATGATTTTTAACAGTGAGCAAATATAATTAGTAACAGGATAAAAATAACTTGTCCATGTAAGTAGATATTACAAATATATAAAACGAGCATGCAAATAAACTCATATATACGACAATTTTAAACGTAATTTTACACAGCGAGCAAATGTTAAAACTTAAAACACAATAAAAGTGATAAGTTTCATATATATACCTTCGTGCGCTATGGTTAACGTGGATGCCCCTGGAATTAGAAAAGACATATTAGTGTGATTTTAACTCAAATTATATTACACATCATTCTTCGTTAACGGGTGTCGAATATCTTCTAGGTTCTTAAAAGAGGAATAAATACAAAGTTTTCGCACTACTCCTAAAAATCGATACACATACCCGGTTCATCAATTATTTGCCTTTTCGCTCGCCGGGTTGACGTCTTGGCACGTTTCCCACCGCCGACCTGATGGACATCACGCTGATGAGCTTGGAATGGGAAAATGTTGCGGAATACTTCACCACATACATTACAAGTATACTCTCTTTCGCCACACTGTCGCTCATGCATTTTCATATGCCGGTTCAAAGCATCCTTGAAATGATATAATTAGATATTATTAGCTCCAAATACCTTATTATGTTTTGAAATATATCCCTGTAAATTACGTACCTTTCGATTAAAGTTTTTGTGGCAACGCGAACACTCGTGCTCTTTGTCACTGGTGTGCATCATCATATGCCGGTTGAGGTTGTCTGGATGCGTAAATGTTTTGCCGCATTCCTCACAGCGTAACCTTGGTTCTGTGGAAGTTGGTTCATCGTTTTGCCAATCATTCCATTCCGCCAGAATCTGTTCTTGTGTTTCAGGTGACCAAGAGTCAAACATTTCATCTGCGGCAACAGCACAAATCTGGCGATTAACCTCCTATTGATCTCTCCTACAAAATATAGAAATCGATTAAATAAACCAGACTCTCGATATTATGCTAATTTCCAATTTAAATTAAACTTACCGTGGATTTTCTCGATGCTGTTGCGCCATTCTTTTTCAAGTAATTTTATTCACGAACCAAAGCAAAATTTCACCAAAAATAGTTAACCCAAAAGAACTTCAACTAAGCGTTGTCAAATGTAGAACTATGCTTATTACAAGACGCTTCTCGATTTTATACAGACGCTTATATAAAAGTCGTTAAATCGAACATCCAATCATGTTGAGCCAATCTTAATCCCACTATTGTATCACACACGAGCAGGGACGCTAAAAAATTCCATAGTCAGCAAGTTTCACCCGATCTTGTTCAAGCTTGCCCGTTTGACGTCTGCATATTAATTACCTTCCGCAATTAATGTGAAGGTACATTAATGTGGAGGTATGTTAATTAATGTGGAGGTATGCCAATTAATGTGCAGGTGTGTTAATTACCCTCCACACTCCTCCACAAAAATCCGGGTCGATCGGTTGCGAGGCCTTAAATACGATCGATCCTCCTCTAAATCGCAGAGATATCTCTAATCCATTTCACAATGTACGATTAACTTAACCAGCAACTAAGTCCTTTCCGACCTACGCGAAAATGTATACATTTTAGAGCAAAATATTGTTTCTATGGACACAGCCTTGGTTGGAAGCATACATAAATTAACACAGACACAGATTAAGGTTTAAATTAAACCATTTATTTTTTAAATTGTACAACAATTATTTACACAAATATTATCTGGTTTAAATCGTTTTACTTTGTTAACTGTTCCAACCGATGGCACGAGTTTACGTTTTTGTCCTTTCTGTTCCACTGGCTTGACATCCACAATTTTGACTACACTTCGTTTCTTGCTCGCAGGTAACAACGGTAGCTACAGTGTGCACCCAAAACGTATAAGTGAAGAAATTTGTTGTTTGTTCTTTTCAAAACATTTGTGGATTTAAAAACATAGTAAATAACTTATTACATGTGTTCAGGTTGTCTTGGAATAAGTCCGGACTCTATAATTCGAACTGCATTAATAATATGTCACTGATGATCTCACAGGAAACGTATATTTCTCGTGTTCGCATTCTCTTTTAGAAAATTCCCCCAAATTACAATTACCAGGGGGGAACTTTACTTTTTGCGCAGTTTTAAGACCTCTGTGGTTTTAAGACCTCCGGTGTGTAGAGTTTTCTTGTGTTGCTTCGTGCACGTTTTCTTTCATTATTCGTGACCAGTACCAGATTGCTCCCAATCATGTGGCTGTAGATAGTAGTGTTACTCAACAAAAATGGACAAAACAGCAATGTTATAGTTATATATATGCAAATTAAACTATTGTGCGATAGAAAAAGTGATGGAAATCATAGGTAATTTCTGCTTGCTGTTTCGGTGTTTGTCGTCGTCGGTGTTTGTGTTGTTGTTGTTTGTGTTTCTGTTGTTGTTTGTTTCTTTGTGGTGGTGTTGTTGTTGTTGTTGTTGTTGTTTGTGTTGTTGTTGTTTGTATTATTAATAATTTCTTGTTGTAGTGCATTTCCTGTCAAAGTTCGCGTATTGTTGTATCGCATGGTTTTGTACAAGTTCCTGTTCTAGTAATTTCCATTAAATCCTTGGTCCGTTATCATTTTTTTGTATTTTATGTTAGAATGTACTGTCGAATATGTATTGTGTTAGCTGTCGGTGAATTTGTATCCTCTTTGTAAACCTTGTCTTTTCCGGACACGATTATTTCATTTCCTTTCCCTGACATTGCCATTATATGACAAGCAGTTGAGTTGTGATTATCTGTTCCAAAACAAGCTTCAAACCAGATAGCGCATTGTAAATATCAATGGACGAAATTGGTAATATTCTCAGTCTGGTAACTACATTTCCGTCGGCTCATGGCAAAGTGTGGAGAGTATGAACACTGAACGTTTTGAAATGGAAGAAGTCGGCAATGAATTCACTGAAGAAACCTTAATATTCGCGTTGGCGTATATATTCGAAAGTATTCAATTCTGGAAATTGTTCTACGAAAAATCAGACATGTTCTCCAAAACTAGAACATTAAGTCATTAACAAAGTTGCATTCAAATTTAGAAATAACTAAAACATTGATACGTTACTTGGACTACCAAATTAGATAAATGCTATATCATTAAAATTGTTATTAATAAATAATTTAGTTAAATAATTGTTGATGTGTTTTATGTTAGAAAAATATTTTCCTGTTAAGTTTATTCTGTTATTATTATATATTCTATTTGAGTTACACTTCAGTTGTATTATATTAAAATGCGCATGACATGAAAATTTCGCCCCAATTTTATGCATCACTTAAACCATAGATATAGGAGATCTAGATTGCTAACGCATACCTAGTGCAGGCGGGGCCTACATGATAAATCCAAGATGGCGGTACAAGAGGGCAAAAAGACTATAGATTCTATTACGAAAATCAAGATTTTTGCATTTTTTGCCGTCGCATTGTTTTGAAACTTATTCGGTCAAATTTTATGGTAAAGAGAAACTTACCGCGAAGATTTTGAGCATATTTATGATTGAATTGGATGAAAACTCGCAAAATTATCCAGCGATAAAAGTTCGTGTATAGTACTATATATGTAACTTGTACAGTTTTGCTTTAATTTTTGCTCACTATTTGCATAGAAAGCAAATTATAACAGACCATAGATGATAGACCCTTATCCAGTGCTCTCATCAGTTTACTTCTCTAACAAGCAAGGAGAGGGGGGGGGGGTACATAACAGTGAATTTTTCATAATTATGAGGACAGAGCAGATGATGATGAAAGATGCAAGTATAAAACACCATTCACAAGACTAGATGTTAACATAGCACAGTATTTCTGGCAATAAAACGCTCCAACTGACCAACTGACCATGTCACACGAACTTTTATCGCTGGATAATTTTGCGAGTTTTCATCCAATTCAATCATATATATGCTCAAAATCTTTGCGGTACGTTTCTCTTTACCATAAAATTTGACCGAATAAGTTTCAAAACAATGCGACGGCAAAAAATACAAAAATCTTGATTTTCGTAATAGAATCTATAGTCTTTTTGCCCTCTTGTACCGCCATCTTGGATTTATCATGTAGGCCCCGCCTGCGCTAGGTATGCGTTAGCAATCTAGATCTCCTATATCTATGACTTAAACGTACCTTGAAAATGATGAAGAATGGCCTGAACAATTTGTTCACTGCTCATCTCATTCCCAAGTTATCAGGCATTTTGTATTTTGTGTTATGACGTTACTAGTTGTGCTTAAGGATGCCAGCAAAAAGAATAAAGCCTAATATCTCAGAAGTGATTCAACGAAATTAAATGAAATTTGGTACAGTTAGTAAGTGCACCTAAGAAAACATTTTGGAACGTTCATGTGGTTGTCATAGCAACACGCTATTTACCAGCTCTCTCTGTCCTATTTTTCCAATTCTTTGCTTCCAACAAAAATGAGAGGAATTTTTGTGATTTTCATTTATTATTATCGTTTTTATACCCGTAGGTGCTTTGCTGAATATAAACTACTGAATTAAAAATAAAAGGGAGAGACTTGGTAACTAGTGTGTTGCTAAGACAACCACATAAACGTTCTAAAATGTTTGCTTGCGTTCCAAAATGTTTTGCTGACGTAATAAGTGATACCGACAAAGGAAAAAGGTCGCTTCGCCCGAAAAAAATCGCTAGTGGAAAACCTGCTTTAGTCCTGGATAATTGAAATTCAGGTGGTTGTCCATATTCACCAGCATCACATTGTCTAAAATCCATTGGAAATGCTTTTGTTGGCTTTTGTAAGAGAAAGCTGGGAGGTAGGTAGCTACTGCGCACTATTACAACCTCGTACCCAGGGCCTTTGCGCGGTTCAGAGGCTCTGGTACGGGAACAGTGGCGCCGGCAGCACGATAATGGGGGGGGGGGGCGAATATTCATATATTTGTGTTCACAGATCATAAAAACAATCGATTTCAAAAGAAGTTAATGCAGAACATGACGATATGAATATTCGCTCCCCCCCGCAATTATCGCGCTGGCGGCGCCACTGTACGGGAAGCAAAGGCCCTGGTAAACACTGGTCACGTGACTCCAAAAATATTGGACATTTTTGTAACCTTGCCTTATTAAAGTCATGTCATCCCGGGGGGATGAACAACTGAACATTGCAATGGGCAAACTAAATTTTAAAAATACATATTTTGCCTTTGATTTGTATAACAAGTGTTTTAAAATTCATATGTTAAAACAACTGCAGGCAGCAGATTTTAAGCTTGTTTTTATTTTGATGGAAATTATAAACTGTGAAGCCACATGGATTTTTAATGCTATACAGGGTGTATCAAAAAAAGCGCAATCCTCGACTGAAATGTAAATTGCTAAACAAATAATAGACGAAAACGTTAAAGTTTACATTCATTTTAAAGCGTAGCCATTCACCTCTCTAACAATGGGTTGTTTCCTTAAATTTGACTCATTGGTTCGCGGGTAATAATACTTTACGTTATTGCGATTGGAGATTAAAAAAATTGAGATGGAATAACAAATCGTTCTCATGAAAATAACTGATTTTTTCATTAAAACAAAAAACTGTTGCATTTTATTAAATGGATTGTAACAATAAGTATAATTACGGCTTTTCTTCCACTATTTTTAACTCAGTTTTAAACTTCAAATGCGATATAATTTTGGCTTGGACCATCTAAGCTGACTGACATCAACTTGCTATAATTTCTGTTTACATTACATCGCAATTCGATAACACTCTGGCTCAGACACCAGAATGTTTTGACGATTTTTAGCATTCGTTTAGGATTTTCAAACAATCAATTTTCAATCTTTCATAACTGGAGTTCTCTTTGACATGTAAAATCGTTAGGCAGTACCCTCAGTAATATATTTATTTAACTGGCAGACCATTACAGTAGTCAAAAGGTAATAAATGAATACATGATGCTTGTGACGTTACCCTGAGTGTATATCCACACCGGGCAAGCTTGAAAAATATGCCTGACCACGGTGGAAATCGAACCTACAACCTTTGGAATACTAGCCCAATGAATACTAATCTCGAAACCAGAGCCAGCAATCCTCTGTGGAGGCTTGCTGAGGCTCTGGGAAACACCGGTGAAAGTCGGGCACTGATTGGTTGTTTTTCAACATCCTCGTCCCCAGGCCCAAGCGGCCCTCAAAGTTTTTCAAGTGCTAATTATTATTCAAACTTTGAGCCGTATTTAGTTATTCGGATTTCAAACATCGTTTAAAATTAATATAAAGTTTATTTCTCTTTGTGTATTATATTTAAACATATCAATGAAACACAGCATAATTTTAATAAACTTATTAATCTTCCTTAGCTTCTCATATGAAATCAATAGACTATTCAGATATTGATATGCCAATAACAAAATGTAGAATAACAGTGCAGCATTACCATATAAGGTCATGATAAGCCGTTGCCTATGATATTTAAAATAACACAGCAATCCATGATTTACCGTAATTAAACAAGTTAAAATAAATCACTACCAGTATCTTACAACAATTCAAAACCATGGCAAGTGTTCTTTGAAGAATTAAAGTCGTAATAAGCTTAAACAACGGCATAATTCATGTTTGACGGCAATAATGTCTATTTATAAATGTCGAGCGGAGTACTGGATCCAAATGTACTGATTTTCATGCAAAAGTCGCCGGTGTTTTACAGAGCCTCAGCAAGCCTCAACAGAGGATTGTGGGCTCTGGTTTCGAGATTGAATGAATACATGCAAACATTACAAATTATAACTGCCCTCGTAGTCGTTACCAATCCATTGGTCTCTGATTCCTCCAGTAAAAACTTAACAGAATAGTACGATAATAATAGAAAAGTGTGAAAATGCCAACGATAACTAACTTTGTGTGACAAGAAAGTTAGATTACATTAATTTAAGGTTACAGGCACCCTTTTTGGCGTTTTGCGGAAAGTCGCTACTGCGCGCTCAATATCAGTCCGATTTTAATCAAATTTTCACCAAATGTTCGCCAGTGCATGCAAAATATGGTAAAGTTGTAAAATTAACAAACAATAAAATAATGTAAGAATTATTCAGGAAAATCTTAAATCGCGGTACCGTTACGCTTTTGAGTTGTGCTCCTGTTGGTTTTAAGTTATATTTACGAAAATATCATTTTTATACAGTAAAATAGTTCTAAAAAATTGTGTTCGGAAATTTTTGTTTATTTCGTCATTCCGCTGATATGGCGATATCTTTGACGACTGCAATATATTTCTGAACTGTTTGAGTGAATTGCTCTTTATTATTAAAATATCCAAAATTGAAAAAAAGCCGAACACAATTTTGAAACCGACGTCTTAAACTATGTCCTGTGAAAATTTGAGAAAATTTGGTTAAAACCCGCAGGAGAACAACTCGTTTGAAAATCAGTAATTACCGTAAAATTCGTCGGGAGAAAATTGAATTTGAATATTACATTTTCAATGTTTTTCTTATTGCAGCGAAATGTATTTTATTCAATAACTCTGCAAGTTTTCAACATTTTTCGTTCAAACTTGGTCAGATAGTAGAACTAGTCTAATGCTTTCATGGAAACCAATAAAAAGATCTACAATTAAACTTGTTAGGTAGCCAACTTTTTAAATATGAACCCCTGATATATTTGTTCAATAATGTTTACAAAATGAGCAGTTGTGTTGTATAATGAATATAATACAATCACACATGTCACCATATAAGCCCATGACCCTAATCCCATCCAAACCCCCCTCCCCCTACATTTTTGGAATAATAAGCTTTTTACGCCTTTGCAAATTCCCGCGTGCTCAGTAACTTGATTTTAAATTAACGGCACGCCAAATCATCAAAAAATTCCTTAAGTTTATAAAGGAAGATTTAATTCACGTACGATATTGTAAAAACTAAGACTCGTGCTCACAGAAAGAATATGCGTATTGAAAATATTAGTATGGTAAAGTAGAGAGAATGGTAATTTTTGATTAACCAAATTGCAATTCAAATAACAATTATTTTAAGTGGTGCTACTGATTGGTCCAAGTCTTGAATAAGCGACATGTGTGCTAACAAATTATTGTGCTGCTCATTCATAAGGACAAAACGAAAATGGTTATCACTTATGAGTATTCTTACATTGATTGTCAACTGGCCCAACATTACTTTTCATCATTTCTAACATCGTTTGAATCTTGCTTAATTGTTCTTCAATTTTCTTACATCTGGCTTCACCGACCTCCGAAAGATGTTTCACTTGTTCCTGAGTGTTCTTTTCTCTGATTTCATATTTTTCCGATAAGACGTTCAATTTCTCTTCGATTGTATTTAACTTTTCCTCCTTTTCTGTGACATTAGTCACTACATCGTCTACTTCTTCTTCATATACCGCTTCCCACAACTTCGTGAACCACGGTCGTGTATCTCGATCCTTAGAATTTATTGTGATTTTTTTGTCGACAGTTGGAGGAGATAACCATGGAAAATTGTGGAGTGTACGCTCCAAAGTTATCACAAGATTGGCCTACAACGTTAAAACAGTAATTCCGTTAATCTTGAGCCCATGCTCATGCGCAAGTACAAGCCAAAAATGGACTGGCAACTATTCATCTTAGGACTAGCTAAAATAGAAGTCAAGGGCCAGTTGTTCAAAGCGCAATTATCGCTAAACCTGGGTAAAATTTAACCATGATTGCTCTGGTTTATATATTTCTGCAAGTCTGTTTATTTCACAATTTACAAACAAACGGTTCTACAGTTTTCATTAAAAAGGCACTGGAAAAAGTATGGATTTGTCATGAATTTTTAAAATGAAAGCAAGTAAGGTTAGAGTTTTTGGATACGTGCCTGTCAATCGAGAAAAGGAAACAAGCATAAATATAAATAAATTGCATCACATGGTGCTTTCAGAACAAGGTTTCTCTGTGTAAGTAAATAAAGTTTTAAAATGTAAGATTCCTATAAGAACATTACGATCATCATCTGCTCGGAGTCTAATAGTCCCTATTATCTCTGGAACTTTTCAGATGAAGCAGCTCGAGTGTTTAATTCTTAACCTGAAGAAATTCGAAACTGCGATACATATAAAGATTATTGTAGAAATTCCTCCGAGTACTTTAAATATTAGTCAAAAACAGAATTAGTGACACGTCGTAAAACGTTTTAATATAAATTATAGAGTGTATAACTATACTGTATTTTACTGTGTATAGGTAATGTCAATTGTCAAGTACTGTAGCAATAGTCGGCCGGCCAAGGTGGCAAAAAGTGCCTCTAAAGAGAGTTGATGGCAACTTTATGTTAGAAGCTGGTAACAGGCATTTTCTTATAGTTTATGCCTTGGTGATTAGGTGATATAGTTTATGCCTTGGTTTTCTTATACGAAAAATAAACTACACCACTAGAAAGGGTGCAAAAAGCTATATATAAGACAATTAAGCGACTAGTGCAATTTTTCAAGCCAGTTTTGAATTAAAGATAGTTAAAGTTGGCAAAATGGGTACTTACTGGCATTAATTTGGTCATTTCCGCATTTTTTAGCATTCAAAATTCGAAATAGGATTCGAAAAATTAGAAATCGCTTAATTGTCTTATATATAATTGTTTGCGCTCTTTCTGGTGGTATAGGTTATTTTTCGTATAAGAGAACATGATATTTTCCATTTTTTGCCATGATAGTAATTTAATAGGCAAAATTTTAAAATTCTCAAATTTTTGGCTATAAAGCAAAAATCAGAAGTGGTAACGCACACAGTTTTGTTCACCAAGGCTTAAACTATAAGAAAATGCCTGTTACCAGCTTCTAACATAAAATTGCCATCAAGTTGTACGAAATGATGATATGGCCAGCCGTCTATAACGTACAACATACTACGTATTGTAATACTTTTTGTGTCGTATTATGTACTCTGTTCTATGTATTGTATGCTTAGCTTTGTTATCCTATAGTCAGACTCGCTCGTAGCATTGAAGAGCCACTATGTAGAAATGCTATCAATTATTAAATTATTAAATTATTATTAAATTATTATTATTATTATTATTACTATTGCTATTGCTATTGCTAAAATTTAATGTAAAATATAACGGTAAAACGTTTTGAAACTTTGTCGTGAAACTGCAGGGGAAACTGAAAAGTAGAGTAGTTTTCTCTAAAATACGGCAAAATATATTTGTTTTATAGGCAGAAGCTAGTTCTTGAGTCATAGGTTTAAGTATAGGTTATAGTTTACGTAAACGACCATAAATAAACACACAAAAACACGATACGCCGTATTAATTGCCCCCAAAAAACAATATTATTAATCACTAGGCCTACATTTATACAATTCCATGTAAAAACAAGCTTGCATAAAAACATATTAGTTACTGAGTTAAGGATGGCGTAGAAATTTCGCAAAAAAAGCAAGTACGGTATGGAATTTTAATACTGAAATGTTTATAACACTTAGCTACCCAACTCCCAAACATAGCCACAACGAATAAATTGATTTTTAGAAAAACTTCTGGTTCGTCTTGGACAAAATTCGTGTTTATACATGCCTTTCACACTTTGTTTCACGGTTGACAGCCACAAATTGATGAAACTGCAGGCTTGTGTCCAGTTAAAAGCAAAATACATCGCAAAAATATATTGTAAAACAGCGAAATACATCTTTGCAAAATGAAAAACATTTTTTTAGTGCGAGCTTGTACTCGCGCACGCGCATAACGTCGAAGACCGTCCATCACATAATGGAAGACAACTTTGCACTTCGCTATGTTCTCCAATACCCGGGTGTAAATAGCCGTGAGGAATTAATACCCTCGCACGGCACTTCGCGCCGCCGGCGCGGGGATTATTGTTATTGTTATTGTTATTATTATTATTGTTATTGTTATTGTTATATATATATATATATATATATATATATATATATATATATATATATATATATATATATATATATATATATATATATATATATATACGTATATATATATATATATATATATATATATATATATATATATATATATATATATATATATATATATATATATATATATATATATATATATATATATATATATATATATATATATATATATATATATATATATATGTGTGTGTATATGTGTATATGTGTATATATGTATATATATATATTATATATGTGTATATGTGTATATATGTATATATGTGTATGTATGTATGTGTATGTATGTATGTATGTGTATGTATGTATGCGTATGTATGCATGTATGTGTGTGTATGTATGTATGTGTGTGTATGTATGTATGTATGTATGTATGTATGTATGTGTATGTATGTATGTGTATGTATGTATGTGTATGTATGTATGTGTATGTATGTATGTGTATGTATGTATGTGTGTG